AGGCAAGTGTAAACTACATAGTGAGACACTGTCTAAAAAAAAAAAAAAACAAAAAAAACAAAACAACAACAACAACAAAAAGAATACCAGGTTTACTTAGACAAATTATTTAAACTTTTAAGAGCTTTTGAGGTCATGTAGCCTCTTGACTTGCTCCTCACCTTCGATCTCTTTTTCTTTCTCTTGGAGAGTCTGGTCTGTCTGTAGAATGGCAATAGTCATATCCTCCTTGGACTGCAAGAATTTCTGCAGAACCTCTTCAGCCTTCCAAACCAAGGAACACAGAGTTAATAGTAGGAAGTGACTCTAAGTATTTATTTCTGTCTTTTGACCACCAACTTTTCCTCTCAGAACTGTTCCTCTCAGTCTTGGGGATGGTGGTGGCTAAGATTCCCTATTAACAAGAATGTGCACACGATCCAGGCTGGCCAGTAAGACCCGCAAGAAGCAATGTCCTTTATAGGAAGCTCATGGGAAAGAGATTCTGTGTCACTTTAAATTGAAGGTGCTGAGTTAATGCTACAGGCTGAGCATGCTAAAGAATAAAGACTTCATGGAGACAGCAGATCAGAAAAGGAAGTGGATGGGCTAAGAAAACTAAGGAAATGTGAGTTAGGAAGGTAACAGACAGTGAAAAAGATGACAACTCAAATGTTAATTGCGTGTGCTCTCTGTGATGAGTGCCTAGGGCAGATACAGTATAACAGGCTTCTTGTGGTGTTAGTGACCGAAAGTGTGAATGTAGTACGGACAGTAAGGCACACCTCTGTGTAATTATGACTGGTCATGCTGATGTTGGAAACTGGTACAATAACACAGGTAATATTACTTACCTGTATCCCCTTCTTGGGTTCCTCATAGTACTTTTTCTTCAGGTCTCCTACCTTCTGAAGAAGGAGATGATAGCCCCCTGCTACAGAATAAATTCCTTGTTTCACCTCTTCTTCTAGGGGACTGAAAATAACCTTCAGTAAAGCTGTACAACGATCTGAAGATGCTTTCATGTTCTGTTTACAAAAGTTATCTCGCTTTTTTTCTAGCTGGCCCTTTAATAAAAAAATAATAAATAAAAAATAGTTAAGGAGAGATAATAATATGTGGTCAGTTTGTGAGGACACGTCTCAAAAAGATTATGATTCCAACTTTTTACTAAAATTCCTTTTTCTCTGGAGTTGAATTTCTGAGCAGAGACTTTTAGCATTATGCCACACTTCAGAACACTACTAATATTTCAGATTAGACCAATAATTTCTCATGGGATAAATATACTTCAACATAAGCCTTCATTAGATAATTTAAAATATTTTTTTGCTTTTGCCTCAAGTATCAAACCAATGTGATAACAGAAGATCTCATTACTAGTTATGTGCATTTAGTTCTAATAGGAGGAAGTCTATAATGTAATCATGCAAGAAAAAATGCTTTGAAACTTTGAGTCCATACTAATAAAATTGTTTCTTCTTAGAATTATGATTATCCATAGGTAGCTAAGATCATTTTGAAATCTAGGAATAATTTGCTTTCTCAAAATTAATACTTATTTCATTTTCTTGTAGCACTTTGTGTTCTCTAATCCAAATCCATAAACACTTGAGACAAAAATTACCCACCGCCAATTCCTTTTGAAAATGATGGTCAACATCTTTGAAGGAATGTTTCATGAAGATCTCGATGGCCTCCCTCTCACAGGCCCTGTGCAGATCCAGCAGCTCCTGGAGGGTGTCTGTGGGCAGCTGCACTTTCTGGCTCATCTGCTGGTCATAGTGGGCCAAGGCTTTCTTCACGGCAGCTGAGTTCTCTATCTGGGCCAAGGTTAGGACTGCGTTCTCCATGCAGGGCAGATCCCCACTGTTGATGGCACTGAGGTAGGTCAGCACCAGGGTCTCCAGACCTGCATACAGACAGCAGGTGATGAAGCTTGTTATAGCTAGAGTACAAAAAAGTCTCCACTGTAGGCAATTCTGAGCGTGTCAGCTACCACCCGTTTACCTTCAAGTGTCATTGGTACAATTACCAGTGTACCTGGTAATTTGCTAGAAATTCAGCACTACAGCCTTTGCCCAGACCTGTTGAATTTGACCTTCTTCTTCAGGGAGACCCCCCCCATGATGTGTATGTACACTAAAGATTGAGATTCCTAGATATATATTACACAGGAATTTTGAATTAGAATTTTCCATCCATTTTAACTCTAGGTGCCATTATGACTAGAATTATATCTCTTTCATTTATATCTGTATCATCATCCTTGTTAACAGCAAACATTTGATCACTATTTATAGAACAAGATATACTATCCCAATCAAAAGCGGTTGCTATTGGGTTTATATTATTATTATTATTATTATTATTATTATTATTATTATTATTATTATTATTATTTTGGTACTTGGGATTGAACTCGGGACCTGAGCTAAAGCCCTGGCCTGCCATTTGGTTTATTAAAATGAATAGCATTGCCGGGTGGTGGTGCACACCTGTAATCCCAGCACTCAGGAGGCTGAGTCAGGAGAATCGCTGTGAGTTCGAGACCAGCCTGGACTACATAGTGAGTTCCAAGTCAGTCTCAACTACATAGTGAGACCCTGTCTCAAAAAAAAAAAAAGAAAAAGAAAAAGAAAAAGAACAGCATTATTTAAGAGAACTTTCTGAGTTGCTAATACAATAGTCACTAGGCACATGGGAATATGTACCCTTGACATGTAACAATGAGATGTTTTAATTTTTTTTCATTTAAATGAATTTACCTTTAACTTTAAATAACCACACTTTTCTATTGGCTTCCATATTACAGACTGCATGTCTAGTTTACTTAAGAAATTTTTAAGAAATAACCATTTTTTTCCCTTTTGGCTTTTTCTCTCTTTTCCCATCAAGAAATGTGATTAACAAAATCTATTAGACAGGTTGATGCCATCTAAAATTCAATGTGGTAGCGGTCCATTGGAAAATCTGAAACTGCAACCAGCTTCATTTCTTTTCTCCCTCCTCAGTATTATAAACGAGTGAAAATAGGAAGGGTACTCACGAGGTCCGTTGACCTCGATGCCTCCTGGAAGTGTTTTAATCCTGGAAGAGTTGAAGATGTAAGAACAGAACTCTCCAACTTGCTTCACAAATTCAGAGTCTAGTTCATCATCATGCAGTGTCTCGAGCTGGGCCAGCTTCTTTCTATGACTTGGTCTATCGAAGATGAAGCACTTCTTCTTGGGGAAGAACTTCCGGATGCAGAGTCGGGGGAGATTAAAATCTTTCTGACTGGTACCTGTAAGAAGGGATTTACTCATGGTAAGAATTTGCAAACACTTTTGTAAAGGATCAAATGGTATACATTTTCAGATTTTCAGGACAGATAGCCTCTTTCCTCCACATTTGCCTTCTATTTCTTTCTTTCATTCTTCTTTCTTTTTTCTTTCTTTCTTTCTTTCTTTCTTTCTTTCTTTCTTTCTTGTGGTACTGGGGATTGAACTCAGGACCTTGTGCTTGCGAGGCGGGCAGAGGAAACACTGAGCTAAATCCCTGGCCCCACATTTACCTCTTTTTCTGTAGCATGGCATCATCTGTAGACAATACATAAATAACTAAGCTCTACATTTTCCCAAAAATATCTATTTTGAGACAGGAGGAAGAGCCTCCTTAGCCATCTTTTGTCTGTGGGCCATCCTTTTCCAATACTCGAGCTACTACACTGCTTTAATCTATTTTCTTTGAATATACATTCATTGTATTTTACATTCCTTGTTTAAATAAACAGTCACAAATGGTAAGCAGTAAGATAAATTTAAATTAAGCATAGCAAAGGTGAAAGAAAAAACTTGTTCTTTAAACAAGGGAGAAAGTATTTTAAAAATTTTAAAATTGAACCTATTATTTCAGACATTAAGGTTTAATTTGCAGATGTAGGCAGGTAGAAGTAATGAAAAGCTGTAAATGTACAAAAAGTATAAATAGAAAAGTACAGACTCCTAATTTCCCGCCTTTTGGTGTTCCCACTTATCAATTATCTATCAATGTTACCTTGCTTTAGCTTCAAGGAATTTTCCAGGTAGGCATCTGGAGAGATCGAATTGCCATCTAATTCTAAATCTAAGGAGAAATCTCTCAGTGTCCACACAAAGTCTGGGAAGAAGCTCATGAAGTCAGCCGAGTCTTCAACTTCCTTCTTCCTGGGTGAAGATTTTGCTCTGATTCGACTTGTGAGTTCAGTCACATAGCTGAGGCGCTAAGGAAAACTGGCAAAAGTAACTGGGCCCTTCATCCCATATTAGTTTGAGAAAACCACAAACTTTTATTTTGTGTTTGTTCTTAACCTAAGTGTCATTTCTTTACTAAGCACATGAATGTTTCCTCTTCTTGAATTATTGCGTATGTTTTCCCTTTTTGAGTTGGTTCTTTCAGGGTCTAGAGCCATGTAGCTGGTTTACTCACACAGGTCTCTCCTCCGACTTTTGTGCAATGCTAGACCACAAAAAGGATACTGCAGCTGGTCCATGGCCTGCTGGTTGATGGTTCCCATGCTGTTGTACACAAAGGTGCTACTCAGAAGTATCGCCAGGGCGAAGATCCAGGCATCATTCTGGTTGTCGCCCTGGAAGTCAGAACACATTTGGGCCACAAGTGTACTTTATTCTTATGTCATTTTACAGATCAGCAGTGGTAAAAGTATCATCACTTAATTATATTTTTTAGAATAATTACATAGGAAACTAAATCCAAATAAAAATGTCTACAGGACTTAAACTTTGAATATATTTTTGATTAGAAGTTAATTTACACTGATTCTCTATAGACCCTCTTAGGATTACTGTAAGACAACTGAAAAACAGGTTAGGTTCTAAGGCTTTAAAGAAAATTTAAATTTAAAAATTTCTCCTTTTTAATAGCATGATTAACTTACAAGAGATTTAGACCCTGATGTAGTGGTGTGTGCTTGTAATCCTATCTGCATGGGAGACTGAGACAGGAGGATTCTAAATTCAGTGCCAGCCTAAGCAATTTAGTGTGACCTTTCCTCAAAATTAAAAAAGTAGGTAAATAGGGGCTATGGACTAAATTAGTGTTATAGTGATCAACTTTTCAATCCCTGCAACTGTGTAAATAAATAAATAAATAAATAATAAAGTTTATAATACTTGCAGCTCCTTTATAGGAATTATTATATAACAAAAATATTATTTATCTTATTAAAAATTTAAAACACTACTATGAGGCCTATGTAAAGCTATTATATCTATTGAACACATCAGAAAGCTGAGGCTAAAAGAAGTCAATTTGTTTGCATAAGGTCACAGACTTAGAACTAGAGTTTTAAGTGAAACACAAAATCATGAAGCTTCAACACGTAAATCCTTAAATTTCACTGTAGGATAAGACTTTGTCACTGAGTATGTTTGTGTTCTCTTTTTGCATACAAGGTAACTTTATTAATTTATAGATTGTTGGTACTTAGAACACGGTATCAATCATGTGGCTTTTCTGCTAGGATTCTGTCTTATGAATATTTTCCTCGTTTTGGCTGCTAAACTTAGTCTCTGAAATATAAGCAAAAACTAAAAGGCAGATTATATTTAAGCAAATTTCTTATGTAAGTAAAAACTGGTTATTGTAGAGGATATTCAAAGACAGGGAGCAAATCCAAAATTATCTTTAGTTCTTACTTTCTCGACATCACCCAGGCCCTCGGTGTCAAGCAGAACGAGAGTCTGATTTGGCTTCCTGGGATGCGGCACACACCACATCCAGATTCCTTTGGTGTGAGACTGCACTGTGGAGCCCAGTGAGAAGCCTGCAAAGCATAGAGGAGATGAGCAGGGTGGAGAAGGCAAGTATTCCTGAAACTGAGATTAAAATTTAGTATAAATGTTAGGAGAGAGAACTGAACCCACGGCCAGTATCAATCTTACTTACAATAAGAGAAATAATAAAGACAAGGTTATCTGATACAAGAAAAAATTGATCATTTTCACGATGAAAAAAAATTCATCTTGTCAGCATACGGTGCGAACCTCTCACACCGGTTGCAGTGGAGGCTGAGGCAGGAGGATCACCCTTTAAGGTCATCTAGTCAACCCAGTGAGACTCTGTCTCAAGGTAAAATTTTAAAAAGGGCTGGATATGTAGCTCAGTGGCAGAGCTCTTTTGAAGCATGTTGAGATTCTAGGTTCAATCTTCAGTGCCACACATACAAAAGAAAAGGTTGATGAAAAAGGAATGTAGCTTATTCCTTGCAGGGTTCTATCTCCAGTGCTGCAAAAATACTCAGGAAACTTCAAATAAAAGCACACTATCTTAGCACAATAATGGTCTTATATGAAAATTCATAGGCAACATCACAGTCAATGACAAAAAAGTAAAATCTTTTTCAATAGGATCAAAAGCAAGAAAGAGGTGTCTGGCTGCTTGTGTTCAACATTGATCTGAAAGTCTCATCCAATGTAATTAGAAAATAAAAGAAATAGAAGGTACTAACACGGGAAATAAAAAAGTAGAATCTTAGCAAATGAAAGTATAGAGTTTAGACTTCTTCAAAATTGAAAAATTGGTGCATCAAAGTTCACCTTCACGGAATAAGAAAGCAATTCATAGAACTGGAGAAGTTATTTCACAGGCGTGTATCTGACAAAGGGCTGATATGAAGAATATATCAAAAGTTCTTATCATGATACACAATCAGATTAAAAATGAACAAGATATTCAAGTAGGCATTTATAAAGAGACAATATTGAAATGGCCAATAAGCACACAAAAAGATGCTAAAGTAGTAGTCATTTAGGGAAATGTAAATTGAAATCACAAGAGACTGCTTCACACCCATCCAAATGGCCACTATCCAAACAAATAAATGAACAAAACCAAACAAAATAATACATAATTGCAGAATGTGGAGAAATTAGTACACTTGTGCCACACTGTGGGAACATAAAATGGTGCAGGCAGACTGAAAAATGGATTGTGATTACTCTAGAAAGTAAGTGGAATTACTGTGTGACCCAGCAATACAGCCCATGAATATACATTCAGAAAAATTGAAAGCATAATCTTGAACCAAAATTTTTACACCCATGTGCATATCAGCATTATTCCTAACAGAAAAAAACTGGAAGAAAGCCACCTATTTATAGGTGAATGGATGAACAGATTGGTGTACCATATTCATACTTTATTAAGCCTTTAAAGGAAGGAAATTTTTTTTTGCTTTTATTTATTTTATTATTATTATTATTTATTTTTTTTTGAAAGCATATTTCAGCAGACTTCTCTCACTTTATTTCTTCATCATCCTATGTGGTGTTTAGAAAAAAAAAATGAAGAAAGAGAGAATACAATTTCAAAGTGAAGAGGGTTTTTACGCAACAAACCCAAATGTTGGTATTTACCAACCAACAGGGTTTAAGCTTAATTTTGAGACAATTTTTTTTAATTTATTAATTTTATTGAGTTTATTGGTACATTTTAGGGATACAGTACAGTTTCATTCATTGTTGGGATCATGTACCTCTACATGGCAAGTCTTGATTCTCATTTTTTCCCCTTACCCCTGCCCTCCCTTCACCCCCTCCTCCCCTCCCCATCTACAAACACTTTATTTTCATCTTTTCATTCTCTCACATTTTTTTCTTTTCCCTTTTTGTTCTTCCCCTACCCATCACACCTTCCCTGCACCTTTAGCTCCTTTCTTAAAGGAAGGAAATTTTGACAAATGGGACATTGTGGAAACTTAAAGACATCACACTACATGAAAAAAACCATTCCTGAAAGGACAATTCTTGTCTGACCTCACTTGTATATACTTGTGGAGAGGTCAAAGTCATAGAGATGGAGTGTAGAACGGTGGTACGGGATGCGTGCATAGGAAGAGGAGGTTGTTCTGGAAGGGGATGGAAATGCTGACTGCACAAAAGTGTGAATTTACTCGGTGCCAAACACTGAACACCTAAAAATCTTTAAAAGGGCAAATTGTGTATTATGAGAAAACTGGAACAATAGAAAATGTAATACAAATGAAACATTTTTTTAGCCTCAAAAGCAGTGGAAACTGGCTCATACTCTACGAACATCTTAATAAGAGTCTTAGAGTTTATTACCATGTAAATTAATTATTCATATTACTGCCTTTCTTTTTTTTAGGAAAGGGCCAATTTATGCTCTCGAAGTGGAAGCTAAGGCATAGTGGGGTCAGCTGGTGACTCTCATACCCCAGGACAGAGTGAAGATATAAAGCTCACCAGTGAGCAGAAGATTAGCTCTCAGTATTCGTCCTGGCTCTTTGTCCACTGGCTGAGCCCCACGCAGGATGCAGGCAGTGGGTGGACAGAGGGCTCAGCAGGGCTTTGCTGGGGGCACTCACCCTTTTGCTTCCCAGCCAGCTTGTTCATCAGGTAGGATTTGCCTGTGCGGTAGAGGCCCACGATAGCCACCACCACGACGGGCTTGGGAAGGGCAGACAGGATCCTCAGAGCTTCCTGATTCTCCCTCAGTCGCCCTTTCACGTTCTCGATGAGGCACACTGGGCCTGGCATGTGGGTCTCCGAGGCCATGTCCAGCCTGTGCTCTCGTCTGCAAGGGCAGAGGTGGAATGAGTGAGTATTTCAATTTCATTTTCAATTTCCAGGGATTTTCAAATGTGTTCCTTCCTCCCATCCCTAATAGCTGTGCTCATTTTGCTGGAATGCAGCTCCACAGAATTCTTTAACTGCCTTCTCAGAAGGAAAACAAATACAATTTTCTTCTGCAAATTTTGTGAAAATACCTAACCATGGGTGCACATCATTAGGGACTCTTGCAGAACTTGGAGGGGCATAGGCAAGGGCAGTGCCTGACTCGGGGGCTACCTGAGCTTCACAGTGAGTGAAGCTGAGTGTGAACTCAGCAAGAAGTGAGCACACAGTGGCAAATACTGGATTTTTGCTAAAAATTTCTATGAAATAAGGATTATGAAATCAGACAACAGATCAAGAGGACTAGAATGGGCATTGTTCTAGGATGTTTTAAGCAATGTGCTTTTAGGTCCTGTGCTTGCTTTTTTACTCGTTTGTTTTCTTTTGGTAGAGGAGAAGAAGGAGAAATATGAAGGGAGGAAGAAAGAGAGGAGGAAGCAGAGGGTAAGTAGCTGACAAGGAGAGAAAGCCTTAGACGAGAGGTGAGAAATGAGGCTAGAACCTACCAAGGAAGTCAGGGGAAGAGTTCCCTGATGGCAGGGAAATTTGTCTGAGATCACTCTTGGAAGCAAAGACCTCTCTCTGAGTGCTGCACTACGTGAGATTTTTCTAGAGGAAGCCCTTTAGGAAAGTGCAGGGGCCAAATTCCGCTGTTGCGGGGTAGAGCGTGAGTGAGCCTTAAGAAGTCACTGATTCTGCAGCACTGCTGACGGAAAACATTCAGTTTGAAACGAAGTTCAGATGCGTGATTAGGAAATAGGATGCTTTTGTGATTTTCCTCTTTTATTCTGAGTATTTTTCTCTCTTTGTCTTTAGCAATGAAAGTAGCTGTTTAGCTGCGTCTCATTTCTGTGCTTTCCTTCAAACAGCACACTGGCCACCTTGTAACATCCATAACTGCAGCAGGAGCAGTTCTAAGTGAGCCCAGCAGGAACCACAGTAGCCTGTGTTCCCAGTCCACACAAAGCCAACAGTCATTCATTTCCCTCTGTGAGTACACTCAACACAAGTCCAGTAATGACACTAGGGGACCTGCTGCTGTGATAAAATCTGGATTTCATTCGACTCCCTGTCCCATCTAAGCCTCAGCTCCAACCGTTCAAAGTTCTGATAGCTTTTAAGAAAACTAAGTAGCCCTTATAATCTCCTTCCCTTCCCTGCATCAGAGTTTGAAACTTTGACTCCCGGAGCAGACTCCTTCATAGCTGGAGAAGCTGCTGGAAGGGGAGGCAACCACTTACCTGCTCTTCTCCACAGCGTAGGTGGTTTGGCTTCTTTCTTCTCTGCCTCTGGCTCTATGTGCAGCTTTTATTTCACCCTCCGATGTCAACAGGCTTCTGTACTTGCCTGAGTGGGCAAATAACGAAAGACAACAAACTTTGTGATACAGTTAGAGGAATGTGAAACTGAAAGTACTTAGTTCGAGCAATTGAGCAACAACCATAAAAGGAATTTTTGTAGCTGTTCCAGAGAGAAGGTTTAAGAAGACTAACCATCCTGTGTCTTGAAATTGTTTCTTGGAAGAAATCTCAGGAACCATTTGCTGTTTTAAAATGTTCCTTAGGTGTAAAATATATCGGAATATCTCTCAAGATTGAGGGTCAGTTTGAGCATACTGGAGCGAGGAAACATCATATTATTTTAAAAGTGTAATTTCCAAAAATAACAGATCCTCTCATAGTGGAACTGGTTGCTGAGAAATGCAGCAAGAAAAAGGACATGTAATACTCTCATGACCTCACAGCACTTGGTTCTGATGCTCACTGCAGTCAGGAGGGGGCTCCCTCCACTGTACCTGTGTTCCAGGGGAAGGGCTCGTGATCTACATGGATTGCACACCTTAAAGCTTTCCCATGATTTTTATAGAAAATGAAGCACAGACAGGCTACATCATTTGTCTCAAATCATAGCACTATAAATAATCTGAATCCAAGCAGCCTCTATCTCAAACCTTGAACCACATTACTATGCTACCTGTGTTTCCAGACCGAATAATTGCAAAAATAATTGCTTTTTCTTGTTAATTATTTTGTAAAATTTCCAGTGTTTTGTGTAAAATCTGTTGTAACTTGAGCCATTTAAAAGAAACTACATTGTAATGGTACATAAGATCCTAATGGTATAATTGACAATGTAAAATAGGAAGAAAATGGCTAAAGGTGTAGGGGACGTGGGAAGGGTAGGTTAAAGGAAATAAAGGGAAAGAAAAACAACCCATGAGAAAATGAAAAAATGGAAATAAAGTATTTGTAAATAGGGATGGGAGGACGGGTGAAGGGAGGGCAGGGGCATGGGGAAAAATGAGAACCAAGACCTGTCATGTAAAGGTACAAGATCCCAATGATGAATGTAACTGTACTGTATACCTAAAATATACCAAGAAACTCAATGAGAAAAAAAGTAAAAGAAACTACATTGTCTCTATCTTACAGTGGAAACAAGAAGGCAAGGGAAGGGTCCTATGATTTAGATAGGACTTGATGTGTTCCCCCCAAAGTACATTTTCTGTGTGCCTTGAACTCAGTGTGGTGATATTCAAATGTGCTGCAACCTTTAAGAGGTAGTATCTGTGGGAAGTGACTATTTATTTTACTTATGAAGAAAAAAATTTTAAATTCTGTACAATCTGGGCACGATGTTGCATGCTTGTAATCCCTGCATGTTGGGAGGCTAAGGCAGGAGAATCACATGTTAGAGGCCATCTTAGACAACTTAGTGACTTACGGAGCACTTGTTCAAAACAAAAAGTAGTAAAAGAGCAGGGAATCGACTCACTGGCATAATTCTGGGTTCAATCCTTAGTACTGAAAAAATAATTTGGAAGTTGGTTAAAACAAGTTACTCAAAATTGGTAGCATGCGCAAACTGAACTGTTAAGTAAATAAACTAGACTTCAAAAAATACTCTTTTATTTAGAATTTCCAGGAGATTGGACAATTACTTATCAAGTGACAGTTATTTAGAGAAGAAATTATTATAGAAAACCTTGGAAAAATCAAGTGAAGCCCAAGAATAACTTGCATGATATAAAGAAGGAAAGAAAGTGAACACACCTGCTCCAGAGCACCACAGGTCCGAGCAAAGTTAATAACTGAAAAGGGCCAGTCGTCTCTTTTACTCATGAGTGGAAGAGCTATGGGGTAACTCAGGAAAACTTGAAAGTAGCTTCATGTTGGACACAGGCCAAATGGAAAGTGAAAGCAGGGCAACTCTTAGTTTCTGGGAAATAGACTGATGGTAATGCCTAGATCCTTTCCTACTACCGTCTGGGATAACAGAGGTGTGCCACCACGCCTGGCTTTCAAAGGCGTTTTTAAATCTAATGTCATTGCTCCGGAACGTTTTCTACATTTCCATTCAAATTCAAATGTTGTGATCAGTTTACTGATACCTTAATTTTTCACTATCTTCTAAGTCGCGAAAAAGCCACATAACATTTACCATCATAACTGCCACATATATGAACTGTATGGACCATATATAAACCACATATGAATATGTAAGTACTGTTGAGTACTTTCACATTTTAGTGCAGTGGTGCCCTGGCCAGCAGGGCTTGTAATTAGCAGAGCTCGAGAAGGGGAAATACCTGGAAATGGGACAAGAGAGGCGCAGAAAGAAGGAGACCAAGCAGAGGCTTGTCAAGGTCTCGTTTATTTTAGGCACAGTCAGCATATATAAAGACAAAGAAAAGGGGGGGGCAATTCTTTGGGGGAGTTCCAGAGCGCGCAATTGCTGCAACAGGATGTCTTGAGATAAGGATACCGGTGGCTTCAGAGCGGATCCATACATCACAAGGTGTCAAGATGTTGCTAGGTGACAGATCATGCCACCTCTCTGCTCAAGGCCGTTGTCATGGGTAATGGCCCGTTCGTGCCAGTGAGGTGATTCAGAAGTTAACATGGAGGTGGTTATGTTAGGCTCAAAAACAACTCTGAGAGTATATATATTTGGTTCCCTACACAGTGGAAGTTAGATTTCCCTCCCCACAACACAGAAACTCTCTGCCTCTTGACTGACTGCACATTTCCCTACTCCCTGGTTCAAGGCAAGCACCATTCTATTTTGTTTCTAGGATTTCAAACTCACTCATCCATAACAAAACTTGCTCATTAGAGAGTGTCCTTCCCTGTTCTGTGAATTGAGGTTTAAGTCATGTTTCCTCCTGCTGGGACAACATAGAAAAGCTCAATAAACACTGGGAGGAATGGGAAAGACAGAAAATATTTCCTGTAGTAAATTTCATTATGATTTCAAAAATCTTTAAAAAGTGTACGATGTTCAGTCAGCGTGGTTACTACCACAGCTTTGACTCAGTCAATCAAGAAATACTTATTCAGGTCTTCTTACTTTCTAGGCAGATGGAAGCCAAGTGTAGTGCATTAGATTCGATAAGAGGTATTTTCTTGAGCATGAGTTGTGAGCTTGTTGTCTTGGTCTAAAAGTCCTTCAGCAATCTGAAGTTACAATTGATCAGAGACTTGAAGTTCATTGCATTTGTTTACCACACACAGATACTCTCTGTTTTATGTTTTCTTGACAAGTGTCTCTTAGTTGTGATCTTTCCTAAAGAAAGAATGGGGCATACATATTGAAAAGGTCAGTGAATTTTACCTAAATGCATACTTAGTCATTAAGATCTGGAGTAGAGTACAGGGACAAAACAAACTGAAATGTAGGAAAAGTGATTAAAAACTGCCTGGTGAGTACATCTTCAAGTGATGACTAGGAATTTGTTCATTTCATGGACAATTTGATAAGATACAGGTGTTTGCAGTATGACCTTGTACCCTTTTTATTTCTGTAACACTGATGGTTATGTCCATCTTTTTATTTTCCATTTTAGTAATTTTTTCCTTTGCTTGTGATTTTGGTTTTGTTGTTGTTGTTGTCTTTTGCTAGGATAGTTAAGTGCATGTCAATTTTGTGGAACTTTTCAAAAAAGACCACTATTTTCCCATGGATAAGCCATCCTTAAATGGAAACAAAGAATATAGAGTAAAAAATTCCACAGCTTTTGCCACCAAAAGAGCATAAAAATTCCCAGCTCCCAACTGTGATGTATCTCATTTTTCCGAACACTCACACTTGCACCCTTAAGTGTGCACTTACATTTCTACCTAATGAAACTTTCCCTTGCCTCTTACTGATACAGCTTGAAAATTCTTTTTCCAGAATGAGAGTCAGCAAAACCTCAAACTTTTTTATGGGTTGGGTGGTTAAATTCCTTTTTCAGCTTTAGGAACCTCCTGGGACCCTGTCTAGTAACAAGTATTAATCCCTCTTAAAACCTCATCACCTTCCACTAGCCCCAACTCTCAAATAGTCCAGCACATTTCAATATCACTGAGTCAAAGCTACAGTAAATGAACCTGTGGAGCACATGATCAAATTATGATTAAACCATAGTCCTTTTCCCCAGACTTCTTATTTCCATTGTAAAATATAGACAATAGAATTTATTTTGCATATTTATAGTCAAGACTGCATTTACACATACTATAAGAAATAATTACAAAATAATACACAAATAAACCAATTATTTTTATAATCACTCACTCAGCAAACACAAACAGCTAGTGAGGTGGTTCAAAAAGTTGTGGGATCAAGGTTGCTTGTATTCATATTAGCACTACAATTTGAGGCAATTGACAATGCCTGCCTGTGCATCAATTTCTATAAGAGAATGAGGAAAGTTTGTTATGAGACTTAGGATGTGAACTCGATGGGAAGCTGTCAGTACTGGGCTTGAAACACCTGTACAAAGCAGGCAATACTCCCCAGAATATTTAGCAACTGTAAGTACCACAAATTGATCTTCAAAGTGCAACATGTGCCCTTTCCATCACTTACTATATCTCAAAATGAAAAACTATCCCTACTCTGAATGTGTCTATTATTTTACAACACGGGGTTTAAAAAATAATATGATACTCCCTCATTCTAGGATGCTAAATCTGATGCCCAATCTTAAGAATCATTTAAGTATATTCTATATGAAAAGGTCCTATTTTTCCTACTCCAGGTAGCACTCAGAGAATTCAAAGTTTCAGTTTGCTCCATGTATAAAAAGTTCTTTCCAATAAAGAAATGCTTTATTGTCAAGTCACCCACTCACAAGAGACTTTTCCAGCTTGAGAAGCTGCACGATGATGAGCTGCATCCTGAATTTATGCAACAAGTGGCAGAATTTTGTTCCTACATCTTCAGCCACTCCACAGCCAAGACTCTTCCAGAAGGCATCACGGTCATTGGAGCTCATGAGTAACTGTTCATGTAATTTCCTTCAACTCAACAGAAAGTATAAGAAGCACATAAGTCTCATTATAGTACCAGTGTTGACAAATGTGTAAGTAACTATCACATGAAAATCATATGCCACATGTTTATAAAGTTATAGTGGATTTAAACATAATTCATATGTTTCTCTTTTTAGTAATGTCTCCAAAGTTACATACAACAGAAAAAAAAAAAAAACCAAACAAGAAAAGATGAAGTTAAAAGAATTTTGCCCACAACCAAGGTTGATAAGAAACAACAGCCTCCTAACTATGCTTTATATTTCAAAGTGTTTAATGTTCAGAAAAAATTATAATTGTTAAGCTCACTGCTCCTACTGCACTACTAATGTCACT